GTCCTTACATTTAGTGGACTTGGACTATGAAAAATATTGCACAAATTAATACACATAAATGTATGAAAATATAATTATAAATTAAAAGCATAAAATTTACCTTCCCATCATCCCCCGGAGTAGAAATAGAATGAAACTGATCACATAGTCTCTCCCAAGTTTGAGCGCTAATCCTATTCGGATGATTTGCCTTAGCAGCTGCAAGGTTAGGTATATCTTTTGCAATGAAATAAATTCGTTGCGTATACTAAATACATTGGCGACGAAATAAATTTGTTGCCTATGATAAATGTATTGACAACGAATTATATTTGGCAACGAAACAAATTCGTTCTGGATTATAAACGTATTTGCAACGATGTATTTTGGGAAATGTAAAATTTCTTGTAGTGACGCAGTTAAGATTTGCATAATCCCCACTTCAGTGTGAAAGATAAACTAATTATAAAGATAAGGATTTTACATAAAGCATTTAATTTAATTTAATCGGTAACGACAAGTTAAAATGTACGGAAATATCTCAAAATTTACGGAATTAGTAAGGTCGCTAGCTAACGAATAAACGTACGAAAATATCTCAAAATTTACGGAATTAGTAAGATCACTAGCTAACGACAAAATGTACGGAAATATCTCAAAATTTACGGAATTAGTAAGATCGCTAGCTAACGACAAAATGTACGGAAATATCTCAAAATTTACGGGATTAGTAAGGTCGCTAGCTAACGAATAAACGTACGAAAATATCTCAAAATTTACGGAATTAGTAAGATCACTAGCTAACAACAAAATGTACGGAAATATCTCAAAATTTACGGAATTGGTAATATCGCTAGCTAACGACAAAATGTACGGAAATATCTCAATATTTACGGAATTAGTAAGATCGCTAGCTAACGACAAAATGTACGGAAATATCTAACAACAAATTGTACGGAGTTAATTAGTTTAATTTGATCGGTATACGACAAAATGTACGGAATTATCTACAAAATTTATAAGTTAGCTATTAATTCAAGTCTTTTGCCAGCTAAACATTCGTATGTCTACGCGCTTGCGCGCGTGTGTGAATAAAATTATAATCGATATATTTTTGCATAAAGTACGTACATTCATATACGACTCATCGGCGCGCCATGATTTCCTCATAAGTCATAATTTAACCTAATTTCAAATATTAGTGACATAATAAAATTAAAGTACATATATATATACCAATGTATAGCATTTTTTATACGGTGTGTATACTAATTAAATTATACTAGTATTAGTATAATTACACCCTACAAGTATCATCACTTTAAACTTGTGAAAACATGAAAATTTGCTTGATATATGCCTTTAACCCTTTTTTTAAGGGGCAAATGGCAAAAAGGCCCATCACATGGGACTTAAATGCATTTTAGTCCACAAAAAAAACAGTCTCTCAATTAAGCCCATCCCCATGTCTTTAGTCTAAAATACCCTCAATAATATAATTCTTAACAATTCCACCCATTATGCTCTAACTTCCTTAATATTACACATTGACCCCGGATTCAAACAAATATATCACATTAACCCCCAAAACTTTTTTTTTTCAGAAAATAATTTTTTTTCTGAAATGTTTTTTTCCGGCCAGATTCCGGCGAGATTCCGGCGTTGACTTTTTTTTTTTTTTTTTTGAAATTTTTTTTTTCCTGAATTTTTTTTCCGGCCGGTCAACCACCGTTGACCGCCGGTCTCCGGCGTTGACTTTTTTTTTTTTTTTTTTTTTTTGAATTGTTTTTTCTTAGAAAAAAAATATTTTAATTAATATTACTATCTTGACTACTAAATTACTGTCTCAGACAGTAATATTACTGTTTGGGACAGTAATATTATGAATATTATTTTTTCGAACAGTAATATTATTAATATTATTGTCTAAGACAGTTAAATTACTGTTGGAGACAGTAATTTAACATCCAAGACAATAATATTAATTAAAATAAATTTTTTTGTAAGGAAAAAAATAATAAAAAAAAAAAGTCAATTAACAGTTAAATTACTGTCTCGGACAGTTAAATAACTGCTGGAGACAGTAATTTAGCAACGAATACAGTAATATTAATTAAATTTTTTTTTTTAAGAATAAAAAAAGTCAATTAACAGTTAAATTACTGTCTCCAACAGTTAAATAACTGCTGGAGACAGTAATTTAGCAACGAATACAGTAATATTAATTAAAAATATTTTTTTTAAGAATAAAAAAGTCAATTAACAGTTAAATTACTGTTTCCGACAGTTAAATAACTGCTGGAGACAATAATTTAGCAACGAATACAGTAATATTAATTAAAAATATTTTTTTTAAGAATAAAAAAGTCAATTAACAGTTAAATTACTGTCTCCGACAGTTAAATAACTGCTGGAGACAGTAATTTAGCAACGAATACAGTAATATTAATTAAAATATTTTTGAAGGAAAAAAAAAAAAAAAAGTCAATTAACAGTTAAATTACTGTCTCCGACAGTTAAATAGCTGACGGAGACAGTAATTTAGCAGCCAAGACAGTAAAATTAATTAAAAAATTTTTTTTAAGAAAAAACAAAATTATAAAAAAAAAAAAAAAAAGTCAACGCCGGAGACCCGGCGGTCAACGGCCGTTGACCGGCCGGAAAAAAATTTCAGGAAAACAAAAATTCAAAAAAAAAAAAAAAAAAAAAAAGTCAACGCCGGAATCTGGCCGGAAAAAAAAATTTCAGAAAAAAAATTTATTTTCTGAAAAAAAACTTTTTTTGGGGTTAATGTGATATATTTGTTTAAATCCGGGGTCAATGTGTAATATTTAAGAAGTTAGAGCATAATTGGTGGAATTGATAAGAATTAGGGTTAAAATTGGGGTCAAAAATTGAAATTTGGGTTAAAATTGGTTAATTGATGAAATTGGGCTAAATTGGGGTGTAAATCATGAAATTGGAGTTGAATTGGGTTTCAATGAATTGGGGGTAATTTTGGTATATATAAAGGGATTTTCCTTATTTGCAAATAAGTTTGAATGGGGTGGATTTATTTGAAAGACAAAAAAGTTGGATGTCCCTCTTTTAATTAAGTGCCCTTGTCATGGGCCTATTTGCCATTACCCCTTTTTTAAGATAATATTTCGGCTGAAATAATCAAACATAAAGGTCTAATTATATTGAAATTTATAATTAATTGAATTAAAAGCTAATGGTAAAAAGACTAAATTAATTAATCTTTCGTGTAGAACTATACTCAGGCAAAGTTTGAGAAATTATTCTGAATATCAGGAAGTAGGAAGAAAATACAATCGTCGTTCACACTAGTCGAAAAAAACCGAATCGAGCAGATCTAGAACATTCTATTAATCACAAAATTATTTAATTAATTAATTTATTTAATTTGTACAAATAAAATGTCAACTTTGACCCTCGAGTAGACTTTCCACACTGTGTTTTTCCATTGAAAACCCTAATGGCATCAAATTTATAAAGCAAAGAAGATATACATACAGATATACATAATTTAATTACATATTCTAGAAAGCCCATTGATCGGGGCAGATTTCCCCAGATCCAAAAGCCCACTATAAACCTCTCTCTTCTCGGCTCAGGCCCAAGATCAGCCCAATAAAATGGCACGCGCCCCAATACAGATAAGAGGATAAGCGGGGAGTTTTCGGCTAAGAAAGAGCTGGAGAGAAACCAGAGAAAAACAAACACTCACACCTCCAACACACACTCACATCATACCACATACACAAGCAAAAATATACATACAGATATACACAGATACTTGAGGGGTCCAAATGGGCTCCATCACCCATCCTCCAATGGAGTTTCTCACAATTTTTTTATCACTGCAAATCATTGCTTTAATTTGCTTATCCCTTCCAATTATATATTTATTAAAAATATAAGTATCAAATGAGCATTTGATGTTCCATTTTAATACTTATTTAATGGAATCATTGTATTAACTTGATTATTCGTAACCGATAATTTGGGCCTTGTACAGTAGTTCAATTTAAATAAAAATTACTAGACCTATTGAGTGGGTGCAATTACTCAGCCCATTATATATATTATATTACAGAGAGGCCCTCACGTTAGATGGTGGTTTTTTTTAAAACACATTTCACATTTATCTTCAACTAAATATGTGTAGGATATAGATATATATATATATATATATATATATATATATATATATATATATATATATATATATATATATATTATAATTAATTGATAATTATAAACAACCATTATAAACACATAAAATATTTGATATGATTCAAGTTATATGATCTTATGGCCCACTAATTTTCCGCTTACTTTGCACAAGGTCTTTAGTGCATACGTGGCGCTGTATATATTACACACAATTATGATTTTACATTGAAATTTAGTTTTAATTAAAAATAGGTTCTTCCTACATATAAATTAAATATTTAATTAATTAATTTTTTGCAGGATTTATATTTATTATTTACATTGAACAAAGAAAATAACAACTTTGACTCTTTGAGAAATCGAGTAGACTTTCCACACTGTTTTTTTCAATTAAACCCTAACGGCGTCAAATTAAAGCAAGCAGATATACATACAGACACATCATACATATTCTAAAAAGCAGCTCTCACACAGATACATCGTACACGTAAGCAAATTACTACATGCATACTATAAAAAGCAGCTCACACGTGCACAGTACTATATGTGCACGTGCGTGCGCAAACGTAGTGCAAAATGTGTGACGTCCGAATGCCGTCAGCTCGCATGCATAGCTCATCTGTCGTGATTTCCTATTTTGACCTAAATAATTTAAATAATATTATTTGACAAAAAATAAATAGATCCATTGAAGAAACAATATTAATTATTTTTATTAATAATTCAAAAATATTCAGAATTACGAAAAATAAAAAGACAAAATGAAACCCTAAATAAGAAAACGAAAAAGGAAAGAAAAAACAACAGCAGCAGCAGCAGCGCCGATTCTGCAACTCCGGCGCTCAATCTCCATGCCAAGGCAGAGCCATTCTTTCTTCCACCGGTTCAGGCGGAGGTAATTCGTTCAGATCGAACTGGTGAATCACTTTGCCGCCGCCGCTGCCGCCACGGATCTCCACTGGAGCTGGCTGCGGGCGGACTGCGCAGTACCGCTTGTGTCCGCCGAGACCCTGCCCATTGACGAAAGTCCTCCCACACCTATCACACAGGCGGCGGGGACCCCAGTCAATCCACCGTTTCTGAGGCGGCGGAGGCGGAGGCGGAGGTTCGTACACCACCACCGGCCCCGCCGCCTCCTCCTCCTCCTCCACCCGCGGCCGCTTCTTCTTCTTCTTCTCGGTCAACGTGTGGTGTGCCTTGTGCCCGCACATGGCCCAGTAACTCTTAAACGCCCGGCCGCAAAGAATGCAAGCAAACTGGTTTTCGTTTTCGTTTTCGGCAGCGGCAGCGGTGGCGGCGGCGGCCAGAACCCTCTTCTTCAGAGGCAAATTCACCACCTCCAACGGCAGCACGGGGCCCACCTCATTGACGGGGAGCTCCACGTCATCAGCAGCAACCATGGCTCTGCTGTTGCTTGGCTCTGCTGTTGCTTCCTCTCTTCCTGGTTCTGATTGGCCATGGCAGCAGATCTTCCCTTTCTTCACGAGTACACGTCACCACCGAAGCCATGATAAATTTTAAAATAAAAAAAAAAGAATTTCTAGGGTTCTTTTTTTAGTGCAGAAATAGTTCAGAAGTTTAGTATATGCAGTGCAGAAGAAGAGCAGAAGAAGAAGAAGAAGAAGAAGAAGAAGAAGAAGAAGAAGAAGAAGAAGAAGAAGAAGAAGAAGAAGAATGGAGTTGAGGTTGAAGAAGATATAGGTGCTTATATATATATATATGTGTGTGTGTGTGTGTGTGTGTGTGTGTGTGTGGCTGCCACCTAATTGTAATAAATTGTATAACAAGCTGTAACTGCCATTTATATATATATATAGCAATAAAGGCTTGTTGAATTTCATGAGTTTAATTTGGTGTGTAACCTAGCTCTCGTGTGTATCATCATCTGCAGATTGAATTGTGAAAACATTTCAAATAAAGAAAAAAAAGAAAAAAGAAAAAAGAAAAAGAGAGGTTAATATTATCTGTAATTAAGTGTTAATCTTTTCTGCAAAGACTTTTTGTAAATCTTAAGCGATGAACACTTTCATCTCTGATTGGATGATGACGCATTTAAGATTTGCATAATCCACACTTCAATGTGAAGATAAACTAATTATAAAGATAAGGATTTTACATAAAACATTTAATTTAATTTAATCGGTAACGGCAAGTTAAAATGTACGGAAATATCTCAAAATTTACGGAATTAGTAAGATCGCTAGCTAACGACAAAATGTACGGAAATATCTAACGACAAAATGTACGGAAATATCTAACGACAAAATATACGGAAATATCTAACGACAAAATATACGGAACTAATCACTATGATCGCTAACGACAAAATGTACAGGAATTATCTAACAACAAAATGTACGGAACTAATTAGTATGATCGCTAACGACAAAATGCACGGAATTATCTAAACACAAAATGTACGGAATTAATTAGTAGTTTGATCGCTATACGACAAAATGTACGGAATTATTATCTACAAATTTAGTAAGCTATTAATTCCAGTCTTTTGTTTTCAACTAAACATACGTATGTTTACGCGCTCGCGCGCGCGTGTGTGTAAAATTATAATCGATATATTTTTGCATCAAGTACGTACATTCATATACGACTCATCTGCGCGCCATTATTTACTCATAAGTTACAATTTTAACCTAATTAATTTCAAATATCAGTGACATAACAAAATTAAAGTACATATATATACCCAATGTATAACATTTTTTATACGGTGTGTATACTAATTAAATTATACTAGTATTAGTATAATTACACCCTACAAGTATCATCACTTTAAACTTATGAACACATGAAGATTTGCTTGACATATATGCCTTTAACTTTTTTTTTTAAGATAATATTTCGGCTGAAATAATCAAACATAAAGGGCTAATTATATTGAAATGTACAATTAATTGAATTAAAAGCTAATTGTGAAAAGACTAAATTAATTAATCTTTCGTGTAGAACTATACTCAGGCAAAGTTTGAGAAATTATTCTGAATATCAGGAAGTAGGAAGAAAATACAAGCCTCGTTCACACTCGTCGAAAATAATCGAACCGAGCAGGTCTAGAACATTCTAATAACCACAAAATTATTTAATTAATTAATTAATTTATTTTGTATAAATAAAATATCAACGTTGACTCTCAAGTAGACTTTCCACACTATTTTCTTTCTCCAGTGAAAACCCTAATGGCATCAAATTTATAAAGCAAAGAGATATACATACAGATATACATAATTTAATTACATATTCTAAAAAGCAACTCTCCAGAGCACTACATATGTAGCCCATCCTCCAATGGAGTTTCTCACAATTTTTTTTTGTCACTGCAAATCATTGCTTTAATTTGCTTATCCCTTCCTATTATATATTTATTAAAAATAATAATAAAATATATTTATATATAAATTTTTTTTGTTAATTTACTAAGCTGCCATGGACAAGATGATCATAAAAATCAAGATGCCATCCGCAATGGAGCTCCAATTCAACTGCACCGTATGCGAACGAGCGTTTGGCAACGCAAAAGCATTGGCCGGCCACATGAGGTGGCATTTGCCGAAGGCGAAGGAGCGTAAACCTAATTCCGATTTAATTGTTGTGAAAAAACCTAAACTAATCGCACCGAGACCGGAGGCCGCCGCCGCCGAGTCTTCGGTGGCGAGAATTCTGAATTGTCCAGTTTGTTATAAATCTTTTGTTTCAGATAGGGCGGTGCACGGTCATATGAAGAAACACCCCGACAGGAATTGGAGGGGGATGAAACCCCCGATAACTGATGCTGTTCCAGATCAAGTCGTCGTCGTCGAAAATGGCGATTTGGTTGCTCATGAGTTTAACCAGTTGATTGTTAGGCCGCCGGATATTGCATCGGCTGCAGGATGGCACATGACGGGGAAGAGAGGCATGGCGGCGATTGCTCCGGCGGAGTTTCCGGAGACTTTTGTGGTGGACCAGTCGACGGGGTTAGGGTTTGATCTCAACGAGTTCCCACCGGAGTGGCCAACTATCTAGATTAATTATTATGAATTTGCTGTTGTGATGAGTTATAATTTTCTATTGTGTCAATTATGAAAACCCTAGGTTTTCATTTAATGTATTATTATTATTAATATTATTAATAAAATGAAATAATAATCCAGTATTTTAATTTGCTTTAGTGTTTTATGTTAGAAACTTAAAATTTACTTTAATTTCCGAGCACAAGTATATGTAACTTTATGTTTTCCTTTGCTTATAGTAATTAATTGATATATATCTCAGTAAAATTCTATATCGGACGTCGATTTTATTGATTTTAGAGGGTACGGATCGTACGTAAATTCTTAGCAGCTACTTAAAATAGATGTAAATATAGAAGCTTTTTCGATAACACGATCGATGTCAAGTTCGACGTAAATACTGAAAAAAGTTAGTTCTTGATTATCGAATACCATAAACGACAACGCTAATTTATTATATTGCTTCAACGTATCGAATCCAACAGTACACGACAAATTAGCCTTAACGACCTCGTACATGATTTGTTTTGGAAAGTCGATAATCGATATATAATCCGATATATGTTTAATTTATTTAAGACTACTGAATATATAATTAGTTACATCTTCATATATTTACAGATCTTGGATACATCAACATATTTTTACTGCCACTTCTATATACATCATTAGCAAACATATCGAATCCAACACTATACGACAAATTCGTAACGACCCCGTACATGATATGTTTGGAGAGTCGATAATCGGTATATAATCCGGAACACTGAATATATAGTTCCGACATCTTGAAATATTTATCGATCTTGTATATCAACTTATAATTTTATTTGCCAGTTCTATATACATTATTAGTAAACATTATTACTGTGAATTATTTATAGCCAGATTTTCATCATCCACATACCATATGTTAATTATTAATTTAGAAAATCAATTATATTATGTAACTTTTTTCCCCATCAAAATTTTGTTTTCACACACACACACAGTGAATCTGTCTTAACATTAGACACACATACATTTACAGTCCAAACACAACCTAAATGGAGATCGAAGAATAAGGTAGGTTTGTATAAATTATATATTGTTATTACATAATACATTACAGTAATAATAAAATTAATATCAGAAAATCCAGTCCAGATAATGCAATTACTCTCAATCTAATGACAGAAATATTATTGCACCATTATCATCAAAATAAAAAATAAAATAAAAAAAATATTTTTCCTGTGTCTCCATTCTTACAGCGACACGTGTCCCCCTCCCACCATCAATGGCACTTCTTCCCCCTCCTATATAACAACCCTATTCAGACACCATTTTCCTACTCATCTCATTTTCATTTTCTCACTCATCAACTAATAGTGTATATATATACACACACACACACATATATATACATATACCTCTCACTAGCTAGCTAGCTAGTATATATATACACACACACACACACACACACACACACACACACACATATATATATATATATATATATATATATATATATGGATTTAGGTATTAATGGAATGGAGCTGGTGGCCGTTGAGGCTGCCGGCGAGCCATACCCACCTCCGCCGCCGCCGCCGCCGGCGGCTGCGAATCCGGCCGGAATGCAGCTGGCCATTTACGCGGCGATCCCGAATTTGGAAATGAAGGATTTGCCGCCGAAAAAGAGAATCTTGGTGGTTCTTCGGGAGGAAGAAAGGGAGGCGGAGGAAAGGGAGGCGGAGGAAAGGGTGGCGGAGGAAAGGATGGAAGAGGAAAGGGTGGAGGAGGAAAGGGTGGAGGAGGAGGAAAGGGTGGAGGAGGAAAGGGTGGCGGAGGAGGGATTCGCCTGCAACATCTGCGGGCGGATCTTTCAGAGTAAATTTGCCCTAGGCGGGCACAGAGCCCACCACGACGTGGGACCCACCAAGAAGAGAAAGAGGGCGGCGGCGGGCTGCAGGGTGGTATTTCTGGTGCACGGCGTCTCCAGCCGCCAGTGCCGGGGTTGCGGCAGAGTCTTCCGCACCGCGCGGGGTGTCTCGAACCACATCGGCTTTTGTAAAGGCGTTGATCTGAACGGGCCTCCTCCGGTTGAACTGGTGGAGGAAGTGTTGGCGCTGCCGTGGCGTTAAAAATGAAGCTCATGATTTATTTAGGGTTTTCATAAGTAGTTAATTAATTAATTAAATATATAATTAATTGTGATAGGGGTATTTCGGGAAATCGTGAGCAGTAATTGTTGTTGTTGTTGGTGCCCTCCTCTTTTTTTTTTTTTGTTCTTTTGTATTAGGGTTTGTGTTTCTTTTCGTTTTCTGAATTTGAGAAATTAAATATAAAGATGCTTTGTTATATATTATTAATTGCTTCGGTTATTATTTAATGTTGGAAGAAAAAAGGATTATCTCGAATTCATTAGGATGCAACTACTTTTGTGAGTTACTGATTTTTTTTTATATAATTTTAGTTAAATATAAATCTCCTAAAAAAAAATTGGAAATGAAAAGTTTATGTAATATATTGGTTATATTTTCACCTATTTAACAATGAAAATACTTAATTATACTTAATTCCGTACATTTTTTTCGATAGTGTGATTGTGCTATAGCTTATTTATATCGATGGATTATGTTTCGTCGGTTAACTAAACGACTCGAGTAATTAATGTTTTAGATAATTCCGTACATTTTGTCGGTAGCTAGCGGTAGTACTATAATTTTGTGATATCACTTTGATTACGCTTTGTCGTTACCAATTAAATTACATTCGATTAATTGAAGTTTGAAATAATTCCGTACATTTTGTCGGTAGTGTAATTGTACTATAGTTTTTTTTTACAGCTATTGGATTATGCTCTGTCGATATACTAAAAGACTCGAGTAATTAATTAAAGTATGAGATAATTCCGTACATTTTGTTGGTAGCGACTGTACTATACTTTGTCGATTGCGCTTTGATTACACTCTGTCGTTACTTGATTAAAACACTTGATTAATTGAACTTCGAAATAATTCAGTGCATTTTGTTGGTATTGCGATTGTACTGTAGCTTATATATCCATAGCGATTGGATTATGATAATTTACCGGTTAAAGAAAAGACCCGTAGTCTGAAATAATTCCGTACATTTGGTCAGTACGAAGTTGGTTGTATTGTAGTCATTCTATGTATGGCGCTTTGATTACACTTCGTCGTTATCAATTAGATTACACTAGAATAATCAAAGTCTAAGATAATTCCGTACATTCTGTCAATGGCGATTACACTATATACAGTTTGTCTATGGTACGCGGATTATGCTTTGTTGTTAGCAAATAAATCATAGATCATTTAAATTTCATGAATCATTTTCAAGACTCCTAACAGCTTATTAAGGTCGTCTGAGATAATTCCGTACATTCTGTCGACAGTGGTCGTGCGACAGTTTGTATATAGTAGCTCGAATAATTACATTTTTAGCCATGCTTTTCAACATTATGTTTAGCCATAATTTTGTATTCTCATCAATAATATATGTTGCTTTTAGATATATATATATATATATATATATATATATACATGTAAAATTTGATGCCCAAGTGTACACACCACACAATTGAACATGAAAAGTAGTAGACAAATAGTGTAATAAATTCTCTTTTGGAGATAAGAATGGAGCTATATTTCATCCCTAATATAATTAATTTCCTTCTTATCCTAAATTAGTTATTAGAAGATGATGTTTATCTCTCTCATTTGTCCTAATATATTCATTAAGTCCTTCAATTCTTGTAATAGATTTAATAAACAAGCATTTTTTTAAACAAAACGAGTAGAAAAATATTGTGATAAATTGAAAAAAAAAAAAAGATATATTTTGTTTAAGAATTTAAAATTTCAGATAATTTTGTTTAAAAAAATATAAAATAGTGACAGATTAAACAAACTACAAATAATCATATTTTTCTTGCTAAATGATTTACAGCAACAAAATGAAAAAAAAAAAGAGTCATAATGCATCAAAATGAAAAATGCTCACAATTATTACAACATTGATAGAATCAATAAAAGCTGATTCTCAATTCAACATATGCAAACCCTAACTTATAATGTTAAATTCCTGACTAAACACTGCCAACTTTTTCTGGACAATTTACATCCCAATCATATATTGAACAAATACAGACATACACAAACCAACAATTTGTGTGTGTTCAACGAATATATACAAGTTTAATATTGATTCGGTAAAAATTAGATGTCTCGGCCCATTAAAGGAAGGCCCGGTAAGGGCCCAATAAGTGAAATCTCGCGAGAGGCAGCTCCAGGTCGAGAGAAAAGGAAGTTCCTCATTTGCGAAAAGGAGAGGACTGGAGCAGAGAATATTATCTGAAAAGGAGAGCAACACCGCCGACTTACATTTAATGCATGTCTTCTCAAATGTCAGGAGTGTCAGAGAATATGCATACTAGATGATTTGGTAAATCAATGTTCTGGGCCTATCTAGAAGACCCAATCGAGAGTCGATCGTGGTGCGAGAGGCGAGTCACCCTCTCATTAGCGAGAGGGCAAGGGCGAGAGTTATAAGATATGGTCTATGAGAGATCTGACACAATCGACTTGCATTTAATGCATCTCTCCTCTAAGTGTCAAGAATGTCAGAGAATATGCAGTCTAGGGACTAAGCAGCACACAACACTATTCACCGAGGAGACCAGGTAAGCTTAATTGAATAGTCATTGGAAGTCCGGAACATTTTGATGTGACAACTAAAATAGGAGTGGAATCCGGATTTGGGGTCCGGGCTTAGAATCTCTTCCTATAAATAGTAAGAAGTTAATTCAACTGAAATTATCCTTTTTCCTAATAAAACATACAACTCACTATTCAATTACAATGTCTTTTAAACTAGAAATATACTAACTTGGCCGTCGGAGTGCTAACTCCGGCATCAGCCCGGTTTTTCTTTTCTGTGTTTTTATTTGCAGAATCTAGAAGATCCACTAACGTATTCGGACGAATCAAACATATATATATATTTTTCGAAATTATACACGAGGCTATTAATATTAACAATGACGTTAAGAGGGGGTTTGGCTAAG